CTCTGAGTAAATGCTTTACTAACATGCAAATGCGTCTCACCTTGTATTCACTTTTTCCTCTTCTCCATTTCTCTTGATGTTTATGGTACAGACTATTCGGTCTGGTAATAAATATTGCTAATCATAACCATAATCTGTGCATTCTTTGTTTGACTCAGTAGCAAGTTGTTACCACCTCCAGGAGTGGATGCATGTCTTTGTCCTGCAACTGCCTTCTGCCTTACCGTCATTTACAAAAATGCACATCTATTGGATTAGTGAGTTGGAAAAAGTGAGTTGATGAATGCCTTTCAGAATGTATTGGGAAAGACGTTCTCATAAGTGGTGGAAAAGGAAGTCCGACGTCTCTATACATGCGAGTGTGCAATCCATAACTCCCTTCTGCCTCCACTTTTAAGGGGTGTGATGAGGAAGCCACCTTGATATCGTGTTTTTATCACACCTTTTAGGTAGGTGGTTTTGCAAACTTTGAGCTGAAGACCTCAATGGTAGCGCACTACAAAAGTGCATAGACTTACCGTACTGAGAAACTCTCGATAGTGTTAATTTTTATACTCCTTATTCACATGTAGGCTTGAAGAATGTAGAAAGAGAAGAAAAAAGCCAAGGTGTCTCCAAACAAAGAGAGGTTATTATGCTAAGTCTAAAACAGGTAGCGAACTGGAAGTTGATATTGCCACAAGCACTGATTCATTCTGGAGACAGTAAGAAGGAAAACGAGTTGAGACACGCAATAGAATGACGGTTGGATGTGGTAGTGGTTCGACTCTGTAGACCTCATGACTTTTGATACAAAAACATGGGCCGATGAACGGAATGTGTCGCATTTCGGGCCACTTCAGCAATTGTGGGTTCGGATGTGGAGGAAGTAGGCGGGGTGCCTGCGAGAGTACGGAGGTGTCAGAGCAACGGAAGCCGAATGATAAGCGATCCTGCTCAATTCCCCTTTGCCTCACTTTCCCCTTTTCTGGTAGCTACCTTGGGAGGATTGTGGGGCATTTCGGTTATAAATGGGAACCCTCACACTGTGAGGATGTGTTTTTGTTGGACAAGAGTAAGATGCATCAATTTTATATTTAGAATGGGTGATATCCTGCCATTAAGGTGTTTAAATTTTAAAACCTCTGATCCCGTCAAGTGCTACTGCAGGCCTTCTCTTAACAACCCAATAACACATTTAGATTTGTACCTCGGTAAGTAAAAATTTGTGAGCCGCAGAGATAGTACACAAATGCGTGGTTGGGTTTTGTGCCATCAAGTCAGTGAAGTTGTCAGAGAATTAAGAATTAATTGTTAAGCATTATTTGCCTCGTTGCTGTGCGCCTTGTGTTGTTCGATGTGCATTTCTCTTGTAGGAGTAGAAGCAATTGCCTTGAGCCAACTGCGAAAGAAGTGCCTCGACCGTATTTACTTATGTGCCGCCTGCTTCTTACCGTACTAGAGGGACTAAATAAGAGTTGGCTCCTTCTAAAGGAGGCTTAATAACGTGATTTGAGGTCAAAACTGAGGCAAATTATCTTCCACCTTCTAAAGACGGCGGGAAAATTGGAGAATAAAATGAATATGGAGGAGGCGGAGGCGGTGGATGTTGCATCGTCACTGTTTTAAGTTGCTATTGGCTCGATAATGTGGAAAGTG